TGTTGTGATATAGGACACCTCGATGCGCACTGCCATGTGTCTAGCTATAAGCTCAAAGGGGAGAGGGGAGGACCCATTATAGAACTTTTTCTTCTCTCCATCGTGTGCAGGTGAGTAAGCACGGTACACTCGAAGATTCCAAGCTCTCCTGCAAAATCTTCAGAGAGTCGTCTACTGCACGTACAGGCCACCAAGAACGTGCGTTATCTCGAGGCATCTGTCCTCGGACAGAACTTGGCGCACAAGCCTCTCACCATACCTTCTCTGGGAGCGCCTCTTCCAAGAACGACCAACATGTTCCGAGCCATTTCCGATGCATTTCTTTCAAGTTTGAAGTCGTAAAGCGCCACTTCTCGAAAATCGCAGGCTTCCATAGCTTTGAAGAGCAGCTGAAATTACCTAGAGTGGTAAAGAGATTCCCAAACTGGAGATAAAGCAGCTTTTTTCTTTACAAAGTAGTACCCAACTTGCCTCTGTATTGGAGGTAGGAGTGTGAAAAAAAGTGCGGAAAATAGGGCGCAGAATTACCAGAATAGTCCACCGTGGAGTGTGCCTTCAACTGAACGGGCGCTGGTTTGTTTCCATAATGTTTTGCTCCTAGTTTTGCTCCTATGTACATTACACAAAACATGGGTATCTGTATGTGATTAAGAAATACATTCCAATTCCACAGCGCCTAATTTTGGCAGTAATCGTTTGTGACTTGTAGCAGGCACCAAAGAACAGGATAGATTCATACATTCAGAACAGAATTGATAACTACGTAGGCTGAGCGTTTGAAGCACGTGATGATACAATGTTGAGTGGCATAAACCTCTCACAGAAAATCGAACCTTTCTTCAGGGATCCGTGAAAATTTCGTCTACTCAGAAGATGCTCCGTCTTACCGATCCGTCGCGATTCTAGTTCCAGTTCTTCTATTAAAACTATTTCTAGAGCACTGCAAAAGTCTTAATAGGCTAGGATACATTGTTTGAATTCTTCAACAGCTCTGTTCAGATTTTCATTCAATTTAGAATTTATTCACTATCTTTATAACAGTCGCACAACGAATGAGCAAATCATCAATTCTTTCGTTCCAAAAAAACGAAGCTTGTTAAAGGCATGCCCCAGATGCCCCAGTTTCAAATTGGTTCTTGTTCTACACTTAGAGATAGATTGAGTGGCAATAAAGAAAAAAGGAAAGAAGTGAAAACGCTCGCTTAGGTTAAGGGCTCACTCACCTTCCTAATCGGCTGCTAAGGGAATGAGAGACTAAGCGCGGAGAGGAGAGTATGAGGCGAGAGAGCGCAACAGATGAGAGAGCGCCAGACAACAGCCTGATAAAAAAAATTGCAGCTTCAGCAGCTTACTTTGCAAGGCCCTAGCGCTCTTTTCGGGTGATTTCCGTGCACGAGAATGCCACATCTGTGATTGCCTCTGAGGTTTTAACCTACAGATTGAAAAGTCGTTCACACGACTTCTGCCTGGGTTGTGCCTTTGATACAAAACTTCGAACGCAGCTACTCTGAAGGAATGGATATTAGCGGTTTTTCATGCGCAAAAAGCTACTGGAGGCGATTTTCACAAAAAAATCGAAAGCACTGAGGTTAGAACTTGTGCAGAATGGTAATCCCTGCCAAATCCTTTTGGGTCTTCATGATATGGCGAAGGGCGTTGTCACAAGAAACAGAAAAAAATTTCCCGACTGCTTTTCCAAGGGTTTCCTATGCTTTCCTTTTTTTCCGAGACCACTCCCCACCTCCAGCTTACTCATTGAACGCTCTTACACACTCATTTTATCCCGAGAAATGTTTTCACGGAGATCTTCATGCTTCCCCGCCTTAGAACTTTTCGTTTTTGTTTGCGCTCTTTCTGTATTTTTTGTGCTCTTCACTTTTTCGTGTTCAACCATTCCAAGGCCTTGTTTTTTGTTTTGTTTTTCAAGTCATCCCGTGCATATAAACAAATAAATGATGCTATGAGTCTCAAGTATGTTCGCCATTTGGAACTTTTCATTTTAGCTGGTAGCTCCGAACAGGACTACTCACAAGGAAAGCTCTCTGAAGTACAACTATAAAATTCACACTATGAGAGAAGAACAGAAATCAGATGAAAGATAGGACTACCTTGAGCGAACGAATTAATTTACAGCAGTCGAAGGGAAGTGGCGCGGAGCCAAAGGAGGGGCATGGAAAGAAGTTCAGATAGAGGCGGCCACGTATCAGGCGACGCAGTGAAAGAATCGTTGAAAGCGTGCGATTTTGGAGAGAAGATACGAATCGATCAATAGAATACGATGCAGCAGAAGTGTGAGATGGTAAAGTAAGTCAATAGGTC